TGTTGTAAGTATCAGAGGGGAAACGAGAGAAGCTTCATCCTAGCTTCTCATTGGTGGTCCAATCAAAAAATTGTGGCCTTCAGTGGAAAATCTACATTTGACTTGATTATCACAGGTGTCATCATCAATTCTAACTGAAAGTGTATTATATTCCTGATCAAAACAAACCTGATCTATTAAGATCTGCTCTGTGTCACTCATTCCAACAAACAATTCCTTTATCAAAATTAACACTAAAGTTAAACAGACCTAAGACTGTACCTAACGACCAATCCCACCCAAGCTTACACTTTCACCTTTGACACTATGCACAAACCAGGTAATACGTGGTATCGCATTGCTTTAATATGAAACTATTTTTCTTTCTTTAGATATATAAATTAGATCACCAGTCAACCTTTGACACCAGTCATGGTGTCTTACATATGTTTATATCACACGTATGCATTTTTAGAGGATGTTTAATATAATTTACATATTTAGTGTTTTAATATTTGAATGTACCTGCGTTTTCTTAAAGGGATTTGGTCAAACTTTTGTTGCATCGCGGACTTTTGAAATCAAATCTGAGTCTCATGAGCCGTGATAAGAAACATGAAAAACTTTGTAAGATGATAAGATAAAGAATAAATATCATTATTGCAAAGGCTCAAACAACTCTCGTCATTGTGGTAGAATTTCGTTGTTTAGTGATTAACACAAGCCTCACGATTATCAATGATTCTTTCACTCTAATATCCTTGAATAAACATGACATTGTCAAGACAATACATAAAGAACCAAAAGAAATCCACTTAAAATGGCCTGAAGAAAAAAAGGATTATTTGGCCTTGCTTTTCTCTTGCAAATTATCTGTTAACCACCATTTTTATGAGATGGACAGAAAAAGTATGTGAGCAAGTGAAGAGGAAAAACAAAGCAACAAATGCAAAATGAAAGGAAAAGGCAGACACAAAAGCTGAATAAATGATAAAAAGAAAATGAATAAAAAATGAATATATAACAGCAAGGAATTGAAATGTTCAAGCTTCTGAATAAAAAGTATCATAGGATAAAAGTGATAATTTCTATTTTGAAGAGTGATTGGTTTAGTAGTTCGTTATTTGATGAGAGAATATTTTGATTCTAAGGTCAAGATTCTTTCTTGACAGTGATAGTTGCCAATTTTTATACCATTATCGAGTATAAATACTTGATATTTAAATCTCGATTCATTCTGTAATCATGCTTGCAAGTTGGTTGGAAGCGACCAAAGTTTATTTCAAATACACGTTTTTATTTCATCAGTTTGTAATGTATAAAAGGACTGACTTTTAATGAATATTTTCCCATGGTTGCCTTTGCAATTATCTGTCTAATTAGTAACCAGAATTATTGGGCGATGTGTATTAATCAACATCACTGTCTATATTTCTGAGATGAGATATTATGTACATTATTTACATTATTCGGACTATCATCTTTGTTGCCATATTTATTACAACGTTCGGGCATCTTCAGATGGTTAGAATGTCGAACTGAACCATTTATTTCATGTCAGTTATCAAGTTAAGTCTGAAAGTTATCCACTGTCTTAACTATTGTACTCACACTCCTTGGGTCCTGTTACTGGATCTAACTAACGTTTTTATACACTGTGCCATGTGTCCTTGAGGACATCTGTGCATGAATTTCTGGGTATTATAAACCTAATGTCTTCAGAACATTTTTTTACCAGTGCTCATATTGCAATTATTGCTGTTATCATTACATGTTTTTTACTATAGCTCATATTTCAATTTTTGTTGTTATTATTGCTTTTCCCTGGCACTTCTTATTACTGGTTCCCATATTGTATTCATTTCTATGCTTGGTCGGCTTAGGAGATTTTTGTGGCCTAGCATATGTGCTGATTCCTTAAGTTTACGAATTTTCCAATGGTGTTCCTTGTCAATGATCTCAACCTGATCCCACAGAGGTCAGTGATCTCCCTTTTCTCTCCATATGTGGTCAGCCACGCCTGATTTTTCCACTTCCCCTCGTTTTACAGTGTTCTTCAAGCCTTACCTTAAGGGGGCGGCCTGTCTCTCCTTTATACTTCTTTCCGCAGCTGCACGGGATGGTGTACACACAGTCTTCAGTCATGTTCTCCTCTATGAGGAGGTATCTGCAAAGTGTCGTCTTGAAGGTTGTCCTGATGTTATATGGACCGCAGATCCTTTGTATTTTCTCTGATAACCCCTTCACATAAGGTAGGCAGACTGTTTTCTGAGTTTTGTTGTCCTCCTCTTGTACCCGTCTATCCCAGTTTTTTTTGGCTGCTGCCATGTACCAGGGTAGTTGTTACGTTGTAGGGTACTACTTATACTGACCAGTTCTTTATCTAATGTCTCTGGGTCGCCACTTATGACTTTTTCTCGGTGATGTAAGCAACGGACGATCCCTTTTCTGCCTATACGTCTTAGGTGTGAGTGATCCTTGTTCTTGATTAGTATCTCTGACAGTTTGCGCTTCGCTTTCATTGTAGGAGCCTTTTTTACTTTAGCTACCATTGCTAATGAGGTCTTCCAGCTTTCTTGTATAATCTGATTGGTCCATCACTACAGTTAGTTAGATCCAGTAACAGGACCCAAAGAGTGTGAGTTCAATACCCGGTTAAGGCAGTGGATAACTTTCATAGGGAAATTAACAGGAGATAACTGACATCCATTAAACGTGGAACTAGAACAGTCTACCCCAGTGAACGAAATAAAGGGTTCAGTTCAACATTCTAACCTGAAGAAGGCAACGGCCTAAAAGTTGTAATAAATATGGTGACGATGATGAGGACAATAATCAGAATAATGTAAATAATATATAATTACAGAAATTTAAATTATATTTTTGATGGAAGAATTTGTTCTTTTTGGGGTGTTTTATTTTTCCTCTTGTAATAAATGAGACAAACCTAAAGGTGTAGCAAATCATTATTCTGATGAAAGAAAAGGATTAACAGTTATATTCAGTTCTTAGTAAGTAAGAGAAATGAAAAGAGAAAGAATATAGTTAGTGTTGTAGCAGGCAAGTAAAATGAAATATGACAGAAATTCTTATATTGCAGCTTAACGGTCTGAAATAGAACTGATGTTTTTCCAAAGCGCTATCTGCTTTCCTATTCATTGTTAATGATTTATTCAGCATTCACATAAGATGTTTTATTTATTGAAATTGCTTACCGATATCGTTTATTAAATCGTTGAACGGGAACCAGAATTCCATGCAACATGTTGATTTATCAACTAATGATGCTTTATGCTAGAATAATGCCTATCTATCCAAAAATCAGCGACACGTCATTTCTATTCTTTTATAGTTATGATTTATAGGGATGAAATGGATGAATATTGTAATCAAAAGTCATGAGAGGCTGCTGAAATTTTCTCAGCCTCAATCAAAAACTTCTATTCAAATTTCTGATGCTTGACCATTTGGTTATTTTTTTTTTCAACAGGACCGAGAACCTTTCTCTTTCACTCGTGTAGTTCTTTGAAATATTCATACCGATGCATAATGAATGCCGATTTTTGTCTCATTTTTGTTTCTTCTCCGCATGTGAGTAAATTGTTCTCTTTCTATTGTCCTTGAGAGAGGATATTTTGTGCCAGTTAATTTTTTTTTCGACTTAATTCATTCTTGTGATGACACTTGTCTCATCCATTGAACTGAGCACAGCACTGATTAAGTGAACCTAATTACTTGGAAGTTGTGAGCTTTATCTCGGAATCAGATAGTACAAAAGTTCATAAACTCTATTTCAGTGGAACAGACAAACGACCAAACAACTAGGATGAGTTAACTGACCCTCTCGTAGGGATAGCAGAATGGTAACAATCCAATTTCTTGAATTAAATAAAGTGTTACGTTTGAAATTCCAAAAGGTTTACCGACTATGATTGACACTCGGATAAGGCCGAGGGATTCAACAGATGAATCTTTGGGAAAATAGAAACGATGATGAGAACGCTAGCCAGAACAGATTGATGGAAAATAAAAATAATTTTTCGTCTAAAAAATTCAGATAAAATTATCTTGTTCGTTAAATTTTCTCATTTCCTCTTATCTCGTTTCATTGACTAAAATAATCTCTGTATAAATAACATATATTTGCCTTGTTTATTGAACAAGATCCAAAATACAGGCTTTTATTTATCTACATGTTCATAAGAATAAGGAAAGAGACAACATGGATCGTTATCTATTGTTTAATATGAAAATAACAACATTTGAAAGCATTGGGTCTAAATAAATTATCGGTGTGACGCATAAACTTTTTCTTTTCTCTATGTATTTAAATATAAGTAAATAATCAAAGGCAAATATTGTACTTGTCTATGTGTATGTTTGCGTATATTTCTATGCGTGTATGTTTTGGTATATTTTTCTGTGTTTATACACGGCCGAAAATTAGGTAGACATAAATAAAATCTAAGAGAGAAAATATGCGTGTGTATCAGGCAGAAGACATAATGTGATGAAGATATGGCGACTCATAACTCATTAGTAAAGAAGTTAGGTAGAAAGTCTACACCCACAAACGCACGGGCACACACACGCGCGTGCGCTTGTATATATAAACGAGTAAGCATACACGTGTATGCAGGACTATGCATATTCTTGTATATAGAAACGAGAAAGAGACAATGTGAAGATGGCAGGTGAGTAATACATTGCTTTGTGTATAAACAAAACAATTTTCCTTCAGTTGGCCGTCGGGAAACATCGGAGCCTCTTATGCGCATGCCCATCCAAAGATGCTGACAACAATAACAATAAGAAACAAAGCTACTCATTAATAAAATAACAAGCATATCATCATCATCATCATCATCATCATCATCATCATCATCTCAGTCTTCATTAAGTATTTTAATACATTCTTACTTAATAATTGTGAAAGTTTATTTTATATTTTATCTATCTTGCCGATCGCTCACTACTGCTTTGTCACATCTTTCCAATATTTTTCTTTATTTTTATTATCCATGTCATTTACTGCGTTTTGCCATTTCTTTCTTTATCGTTTAACCCTTCTCAGTCATATTTTTCGAGCCATTCATCGATCATTTATTGTTGTTGTTGGTGGTGGTGGTAGTAATGGTGATGTCTTTTTCTTCGCCACCCATTCTTTCTTTCTTTCTGTTCCCCAGTACGAAACATCGAGCAAAACTTCAGACCTAGATCCCTTTCTGATCACTTTTCATATTCACATGTGCTTTTTGCACGCGCCACCGGTCACGTGACACCACGTATCCGCTTCCGGTAAGTCTGTCACTGCCAGATGATGTCGGCTGTCTGTTATCCAAAATCGCAGCTCGCATTTTGCCAGAAACCTTTTGTCTCCATTATATACTTTGCTTTTCATCTATTTAACAACTACAACCCGATAGTTAGAGCATCAGAATAGTGGTTGATAGATCAACCGTTTTGTGTATGTGATACACACACACACACACACACACACACACACACACACACACATACATATATATATATATATATATATATATATGACTGACTGAAGCGTTTACGACTTTATCTTCAAAGTTAACTGTCTGTTCTAGCTAAAATAAAGGATGTTGAATATCGATTTTTGTGGTATGTCGTCCTTTCCTGCACGAGAATCACTGAATTAGCGGACTTTTAAGAACAATGATACTTAAATAATCTATCTATCTATCTATCTATCTATCTATCTATCTATGATTTTGTGTTAATATACTTATCTGCTATAACGGAAGGCATATGAAAGTAGAAAGTCTAATTACATAATCCCATATTTATTTGTTTCTTTTTCTAACAAATAATTTTCTAAGAACATTTCGAGCAAATCTAACAATTTACTTTTATCTCTGTGAAGATATCAAAAGAAAAACTCGTAGAAAATTTACTACATCTTTAACCGAAAGATAATAAGCACAATAATTATAGGCCATTGATTTTTGAACGTCTTTTTGTTCAATAATTTTCGCCAATCTGTTTAGCCTGCTTTTTCTGGTACTTTAGCGTTCCATTCATTGTCATTTATGAAATTCGATACTAGATTTTCTTTCATTTCGATTCTTTTTTTCCACAAATCCTTTCAATGATCCTTTTGCCGATCCCAATACTGTATCTGTTCTACTTTCTTCATAATTTTCATATTACACCCAAACAATCGTTTCTGTTCTAATTATCTTTTCTCTCTAGAAAATGAAAGCTGTTCGTTTCTGATCATTCAAGCAAATAATCGTAGATATAAAAAGTACTTGTTAAACTGTGGCTATCATTGATGATGTGATATAATTGAAACGTTCAGTGTGAATTATATACGATATTGTTGAAGCTTGGATAAGCATGGAATAATAATAATACAACACAAAATGTACGAAAAGAAAATGTATTGAAACAAGGAAAAGGTACACAATATTTACAGTTAGTTTTGGTATATTCTTGGGAAGACTGTTCCTGTAGAATGGGTTGACTTAATCGCAGTCGGGCAGAGTCTCTCGATTCGATCTCTTCTTACTTCTTCCCTCGTCTTCCCGGTACCAACCCATATTTATATGGTCGGTACTCCACTATGTAAATTAGGTGGATCCTACCACAACAGATATCATCACTGAACTATTGTTGATTGTTTACTATTTTTTCACATCTATACCACTTCATTCTGTAAAAATAATTATCGTGGTTCCTTTTGTGCTATTGTAACATTTTTCTGATTTTCCAATTCAAAAATTTTACTCTTTTAATTTCACATTAAGCATCAAATAAATTTTTTGAAATTTACGGTTACTAGTACTTCAGCAAAATTAAGATAATGATGTCATATTGCAGAATTGTTTTTATGACTGTCATTTACTCAATACGGATGGTTGCTCAATACAACGTTGCAACATGAGCATGCTGATTAATTTATATAAAAAGAAAACAGGAGGTTAGACAAAGAAAAATGAATAGTAAATAGTAATAATACGGTGACATTGGTAAAGATTTTGTGGGCTTAAGTTCATGAGTGCTTTCAGAGCAAAACAGATGGGAGGAACCTTACGTTCACAAGGAACAGAAAGTGGACAATTTTAAGTAGATGAATGGCAGTTGTAAGCATTGCACTCTCAATCTGTTCGGCATCTATCCCTTTTCTATGTCTATGGATCTTTCTCATTTCATGTCCATTTCAGACAGTTTTATTTTTGTCTGTCAGATTTCATATCTACTTATCTCTATCACACTCTCTTTCTCTCTCTCTCTCTCTCTCTCTTTCTCCCCTCACTGTATCTAGGTATCTATGCCAATATGGTCCCTATCTATCTATCTATCTATCTATCTATCTATCTATCTATCTATCTGCGCGTGGCCTAGTGCTTAGAACGTTCGCTTTCTGACCATAGGGTCTGGAAGGGGACGATCCCAACGTACGGCAGCTTTGGAAAGTGCTTGGAAACCATATCACAGACTGGCCCAAGCCTTATGATTTAAATTGGATAGACTTGGGGACCGACGGTAGTCACAAGTCATCGTGACCGGGGGTTTGAGTGTACTGGCGTTGTTCAGATTTTTGATCATGGTAGATAACGCGCTCTCTTCCAGAAACTGTAACTAAGGTCTGCTCAGTATAGTTACAGTAAAAACACAGGTTGGCTCTGTGGGTGTTGCCTGAGCGAGTATCTGCAATAGGGATTGGCTAGCATCCCTAGTAGACGGGTATCCTCGAATACAAGTGGCCAGCTATTCTATCTATCTATCTATCTATCTATCTATCTATCTATCTATCTATCTATCTCATTCCATATCCATTGCTCGCTGTTTATATCTATCATTTGTCATATCCATCTCTATTTCTTTCTTTCTCTCTTTCTCTCTCTCTTTCTCTATCTCTATCTATCTATCTATCTATCTATCTATCTATCTTAGTCTTTTTATTTTTATTATTAATCAGTAATCATTAAATCTACATATCATTTGCGTTGCACGCGTTCGATTAACACTTACATTTATATTTTTCCACTATTTAGCATGTGAAACACATTAAATTAAAATTTAAAAGCATAATTAATTTTATATTAATGTAATTCGAGCCGTTACATCCTACTGTAGTGAGGTTAATATGTCACTAAATTCAACCAAAACATATGACCTGTTTTCTGATTTCTTTTGTTTTTAATCTTTTCTGCATTTTCTTATTTCTTATTTCTTTTCATTGATTCATTCCTTCTATTTCTTTCTTCTCTTTCTTCGAAGAACCATTTTTAATTTCTTTTTTTTTTTTTTTCTTCAGTTGTTCCTTTGTATCTCTTTTTACTCCTACTTTTACTTCATTTATTCTCATTTTTCCGTCATTTTTGCCTTTTAGTCTATTCATTTAATTCAATTCCTTTATCACTTCCCTTCTTTACATCTCTTTCTTAGCGCTAAAGTTTTCTTGGTACTTACAATCCATCTATTTTATAGGATATATTTAGTTCACGTAAATTCCAACTTTTACTGGTAACCCACTTGCATTTGTACAAATAATCTCCCATCGATTCTATCTGCATGTATTTAAGTGTGAGTATTCAGGCGTTATGTAATTGAATCTGTGTCATTACAACTTTAGATAATCGGGAAGATTCAGGCTCTAGTGAAAAACAACCGAGAATTTGTTTCGCTTTGCGATGTTTCGTCTTAACGTTGATTCGTTTTACATCGTCTCTCTTTCCTTATTAGCTCTTTTGTCTTTCGATTTAATCTGTCCGAGTTGACAGCACAACTCGAATAGAAGGATTAGATTAACCAGTAGCAGTTACAACAACTTTAAAGCAAGCCTATATTGGTCTTGAAGTTAGTCACATACACTCATAGCGTGCACGTAACGCGCGCACACACACACACACGCACAAACGTGTATAGCCTATTAAATGTTGTTGCTCACATTCTGTTTGGCGCCTATATCTGTTGCGTATTCATTTACATACACGATGGTACATCATAAACCCATACCCGCATATATATATATATATATACACACACACACATATATATATATATATATATATATATATATATATATATGCGGGTGTGTGAGTTTGCATGTGCGTATATTTCTCTTAACGTTTCTTTAAAATGATTTGATTTATCTGTGACCGTAGATAAATATCTGCATACCTATATTTTTCTTACCTATGTTGTGGACCTCGACACATGTAACAAGGTTATCACACACGCGCGCGCACACACACACACTTCTATTCTATCTATCTATCTGTCTATCTATCACACACACACAAACACACACATACACATTACATATGCACATATGAGAGTAACTAGCACAAACAAATATGCTTTGTTTGATATTCATTTCCAGATACCAGTGGATTGGCATCCTATTTTCTTTCGTAAAATATTTTCTTTTTGAGAAGTCATATATACAAAACTATAATTGTTTAGGTGTGCTTAACTACTTTCCGAGTTTTATATTTTGTAAAACAACTTTAATTCTCCACAAAAGTTGTTCAGTGAAATTGAGACGTTGTTAAAAAGAAATATGCATGACACACACACACACACACACACACACACACACACACACACACACACACACACACACACACATACATATATATATACATATATATATATATATAATTATTTATTCGAAAATTATAACATAAATATGTTATAAAATCATTACAAAAATAGTCATTTTGTTTCAACACTTCTGGTGTGTTATCAAGTGATGGTGTTGAAATGTAGAATAAATCTATCACTTGATAAGACACCAGAAGTATTGAAGTGGTGATTTTATAACATATTTATGTTATAATTTTCGAATAAATAATTATATTTGCTCTACTCTGTATTGATCACTCTTTTAAGAATAGTATTTGTTGGTTATTGGAATTTATTCCGTATATACCAATCGTATACTTCGATATATATATATAGATAACCAGGATCGAAACCCGACCTGGTATCCATCCCCGAGCCATCGGCAAGGAGAAAGACAAATTCTAGCGTCTTGTTTTTATGAATGTAAGCAATCGCCACACAGACATAGTACTCTAATCATTAATATATATATAAAGACATTTTTTATGTTTATACGTTCTTTTTATAGATACAAATATTTAAGTAAATTGTCTGTTTATAATAAACAGTATTAACGACATTTACCGGCCTGAATGTACGAGAAATTTTCATAGAAAATATGCGTCCTCCGACAGGAGTCGAACCTGTATCCTATACGTAACTGTCATATAGCCTGACGTGCTTTTACCGATTGACCCACAGAGGAGCGTTTCGGTTAGCAAGGTCGATTTTACTGTTTTCAAACTACAATTCTCCATGATTTTCTCTCGTGCATTGATATCTGCTCGATGCGTATCCAACTGTAAACAAATGACGTCACACATTATGAAATGGACAAAGTCTGACAATTATTTTAAGACATTTTTATGTTTATAAAAAGAACGTATAAGCATAAAAAATGTCTTAAAATAATTGTCGGACTCGAGAATTGTACAAAAGACCACAAACAGTACAGGAGAATTATTGTATCCAAGTGTAGCATGAACACTGTTAGATGTTTTATTTTGCTTTCTCGTTTCATGTAATCGACTGATGCTTATTTCTCATTGCAGCTTATCAATGTTGTACTTCTTTAGCTCCAATGCAACCAGAGCTGTTTTTCTTTCTGGTGCTGAGTTGTTGTCATGGAGACTTCGTACATTCCAAGTGCCAAGATGAAGTTGATGTTGTTTCGTAGAGTTTTTCGCAGTAGCCGGATATGTGTAGAACTAATTAGATGTAGTTGTCACAAAACCAACACAATGATTTGTTTCAAATGGTGAAGGCTTGTGTCGGACCATCGACACTTTTTGGATCTGTCGATAAAAAAAGTAACGGTGCAAAAGACTTGCCACTGAAACTCCGAGGACATGTGTTATTATCGTGGAGTTTAACCTCTCCGTATCACAGTCAATATCAGACAGTACACGCCTCTCGGCAGACACATGCAATATAATGACTGGGTTAAGTTCTCAGGAGTTTTCCTTCCCATCTGAAGTCTTTTTATCATGAAACCAACACTAAAAGAATTGCTAACCAAAGCTCAGAGAGACTCCTTTCACCCTCATCAAGGGTAGCTAGCCCACGCCAGTTCTCAATCTGGTGCTTTACATAGCTCCGCGGGATAAATATATATTTTACACTGGATGCCAGAGTAAACATCGTCATCAATGTGCCAATATACTTCTATACTAATAATAAAACCGTATAAAATTATTATCAATTATATAAGAATACTTTATTATTATTATTATTATTAATATTGTCATCATCATCATCATTCGATTTCTGCTATGGACACACTACCTACCAAGTCTGCGGAAAGACCTAAGGCAGGTCGTGGTGTGTTGTTATGGCCACATTTCATGTTAATTTTTTTTTTTTTATCTCCGATGAAGTTGCTAGCGTTACATAGACAAAATATTAATATTATTATTATTATTTATAATAATAATAATTATATTATTATTTTTATTATTGTTGCTGTTGTTGTTTTTAAAATATTTGAAAGTAAAGTAGTAAAAAACGAAACCAAATAACATTATAACTGGGAATGCTTTTTCAACAAAATTGAAATTACGTTACTTTTCAATTAATAAATAAGAAAATGTAAACGAATAAAATTCATACCAAATGTTATTAAAATAATCTTTGAAAATAGATAATAATAGATAAAGAAATCAGTGATAATGAGCCACGAGTCAAAGATAAACAAAATAAACATTACAAATATGCTTTCCTCTAAGTCTGAAAATTACGACCACTTTCGCAAAAATAACAACAGAGAAATAAATGTTACGCTTGAACATTTTGAAGATTAGAATTATGCCACTATAATTAATTTAACAAATACAATACATTAATATATCTAACTCTTAGCGAGATATCCTTACACTTGCTAAACAATTTTTTTAAATAAAAATAAAAAAAAGAATAAGGAAAAATCGTTGTATGCCACGGCTTATCTTATAAACAAATATGAACAAAAGATTATAAAAATATGTATATTAATTACTGTAAATAAATAATAACTTATTATAATATAATAAACAAAGAAAAATTTAAGAATCATTGATGATTAAAAGTAAAACAATCAAGACTTTCCTTTATATATGACATTGCTTTCTTTGAGCCCCCCAAAAAAAAAAACACGTCCGTTTACTCCGACATCAGCTTATATATATATATATATATATATATATATATATATATATATATATATATATATAATCTCTAGCCACTTTATTAGGTATACTATTCTAGTAAGATTGGATTCTAGAACCGTCTCAGGTCTTCTTGCCATGGAATCATCGATGTTCTGAAAACACTCTGTCGACATCCTGGTTTATGCTATTATTATTATGCCACAATTCTTCTAGATTGATTGGCCATCTCTCTCCTTTTCCAATGCATTCCAAAGTTCCTTTTAAGAGTCAGGGATGTGCGGATGGTGTAATGCATAGCAGCTCGGTATGAGAAACCAGAGAACCGACTTCGAATTCCAACCGGTTTAGTTGCATTCATTTACGCGTAAATAACACTGGGAAAGGTACGAATCCATTTAGTCCCTCCAGCTCTGAGTTAAAAAGTAATACTTGTATCTGCAAGTTATTCTTAATGCAATATTTAATCGCAAAATAATTATTTTTGCAATCCAACATTTGTGTCGGCTTTAAAGAACACAAAATGGTTGATAAGCCGTATCAATCAAATTTTAAGGAAATAAAAAACAGTTTATTCGATTAATCTAATCAACTGGAACATGTCTAGCCATTCTCCTCCCAAATCTCCCATCGTGAACGAATTTTCGCCCATACAATTGCCGCTCACTGAATTTTTAAGGTTTCTCTGACCATTCTCTGTATACTCAATGACAGTCCTAGTAGATTAGCAAGTTTTGATATACTCATATCCACCCGGTATCTGGTACCAACTGCAATTCCGCGTTTAAACTCATTTAAAATAACTTTCTTTCCCATACTAAAGCGTGAAATGAAATTCATGATTGAAGTTGCCACCATATAATTAGCTGGTTAGGGCACACCGAGGTGGTGTAATGGTTAGCAAGCTTGTATCGCTAGAATAATTACAGCTGAGTAGTGAGTTCAATCCTCATTGGGTGCCCCATACTATCGGCTTTGTGCCACATCTAATGTACGCTTTGAAAATCACTATAATTAGTTGGTTATAAATTTGAATAAAAGAACATTTATTCATGCGTACTTAATTAATTGGCTATTGAGTGAGTATCGAATATTTATCAGGTCATCCCATAAGTTCTGTCCGAATTTTGAATAAAGAAAACAAGTGACCAAATGTTACATTTAATTACAGATTCAATCAACAATGTATTTTCCCTG